AAATGTATTAAGACATGGTTATGAAATGACAGAAATGGAAGTCTCCATGCTTCAGACTGTGGCTGGAGATGCACTCCTGCCCTGCTGTCCTTCCTGGCCGCTGTGCGAATTAGGGACAGTGTCAGCTGTGGCTCTGCATTTCCCAGCTTTTGTCAGCTTGTGTCACAACCTTAGCATTATTTAAGTGAACTTAAAAAAAATATATTTAATATTCATCTTCAAGCCATAATTTCTGTTAGTAAAAGTGACATTTTGTAAAGTTCATTATTTTTTTTACAGAGAAATCTCAGGCACTTAAAAAAAAAAAAAAAAAAAAGACGTTAAATAATGGAACGGCAGTGTCTCCAGGCTAGCAGTCATCCCTACAGTTTGTCATTTTAATATGTGAATACCTGTGAGAAAGATATTTGATACTTCCTGCGTTATTTAGCCTGACCCAGGCGACCAGCTGCTTGGGAACCGAATCCAGCAGTGTGTGCTGCATGTAGCGCCTTCACAGCTCCTTGGCATCCAATGGGCACCCCGTGACTGGGCGTCTTTGGACACTTGTGTGACATTTTTAAGCAGTGATGCACCATGAAAACCTCTGTCAGGTTTGTCTGCAGCTGTGGCTTCATGGGCGTGCAGCGCAGCGTGGGCACCATGAGCTCTTTACCTTGTGTGTGTGCCGGGTGGGTGATCAGATGGGATAACGGCATGGGAGAAGTGGGCTGGAGATGCGTGTTGTCCCTGGCTCTTCCAGGAGTCCCCAGTATGGCTACAACACTTTATTTTGAAGAAATGTTGCAGTAAGAGGCAGCTGCCCTTCCGTGGAATAAGGTTATGCTTACAAGATACAAAACTGGATGGAAAAAGTGGTGGAAAAGGCAGGTTTTGCCTGTGTGTGCAATACTGTTGAGTGAATTGTAAAGTAGAACTTATTCCTGCTGGGAAGGCTGCAGAAGTGCCTACTGCCCGTTTTTCGGTTGGTCAGAAATGTTTGGTCCTTATTCTTTTTGATGTGATGTTTGATAGCAGAGAATGCCATTCAGTTGATGCCACTTTGCCAGTATGTGCCCCCACCATCCGAATTGCTGAGTGGGTCGGGAGCTCTTCTCTATGTCCACCCTCCAATGGCAAATGATTCCTTAGCCTTGAGGACGGCATGCACGCCAATGTTAAATGCTCCATGATGAGTAGGAGGGGCGGCAGGGCATTTCCTTCCTCTCTGCACAAAGCATCTATTCACATTGCTATGGGGCAAGCAAGGGAGGAGGTTTCAGGACCTGAATGGAATGGAAATGGAAGTAGGGCTGACCAGCCTTCAAAGTTGGATATTTTGTCTTTTCACTTACAGGAACGTGACAGAAGGAAAACGTGTTCTGCAATCCTTTGCTTAGGGTACAATTATCCAGATGCTATGAAGTAAAAAATTAATTTGATACGTGAATTGGGTGACGTGGAAAAAAGACCAAACCACCATTAAATCTGATGAAAGTTTCAGGTGTTACTGTCATGATTAAAGCTCAGGGTTTATTTAGCCTAAATGTAATTTGGGTGAAAATGCCACATTAGTACTGAGTTGTTTGTCTCAAGTCATTCCGTGTTTCAAATATTTTTAGTTTATCTTTCAGAAATCATTTATGAGCTATAAGAATTCAGAGCTCCTTTGGCCATGAGCTGTTCCAGTCTCTCCCACAGGTGTTCAAGATTCTATGGCAGTGTTTATAGGACTAGTGAGTGAATTATGTAGTTGTAAAAGGGTGCAAGTTATCTGAAAAAATATGCACTGCTGACAAACAAAACGCGTGATGTGTTTTCCCTCTCTTCCCCAGTGCTACATTTACTACAGTAGGAATCTTCATTGCTTTTTTTTTTTTTCTTGAAGAAATGGCCCTCACTGATTTCGATTGTTTTGGTTGGCCATAGCGACTCCCAGAAAATGCTATTATTTCTTTTGATGAAACTATTCTTATGCAAGAATATCATATTCAAGTCCTGCTTGGCCTTCAAAAATGTTGGCAAAAAGTACGCCTTTGCTTTTTGTCCTGTGAGAGCGGTGAGGTGCTGAACAGCTGCCCAGAGAGGCTGTGATGCCCCGTCCATCCCTGGAGGTGTTCAAGGCCAGGTTGGATGGGGCCCTGGGCAGCCTGGGCTGCTATGAAACGTGGAGGTTGGTGGCCCTGCCTGTGGCAGGGGGTTGGAGCTTCATGATCCTTGAGGTCCCTTCCAACCCAGGCCATGCTATGATTAAAGCCGTATTTCTTAAAGGAAGCATCTGGAGGATGTCAAAGCTTGAACTGGAGAGAACCAATGCTGCTCAGTGACTCTTTCAACCACTGTAATCAGCAGCCTTATTCTGAGCCTTGTGCCAGCAGACTCCAGCATCTCCTTTTAGATAGCAGCTTTCAGGAAATGATGCAGGCGTACAGACAGGTTGCCATAGGAGGGTGCAATATTGCAGCCACTGTGTTTTGATTTTGCAGCAGCCTCTGTAACTGATGAGATGTAATTCAGGGCGTGCTTTAGTACTACTGAAGCAGTGGATCTTGAGATCGTTACTGTGTTTTAAGAAGAAGAAAACCGAAAGGATTTTTGAGTCTGGGAGAGAGCAGTTTGCTGTACCCTGGAGCTGTTTCTGTGAAGTGACTGTGTGCGTGTAAACGATGTAGGGATTTTACAGCTAAAATGACAATACTTGTAATTGTGTGATAGTTATAATATGGTAAATGTATGCAGCTTCTTCCAGTGATTTTAACTCTCCTTGCAGGTGTTTCAGTAGTGCGCTGTCACAAACATCCGTGGCCTTAATGCTGCGTGGGGTTCTGCAGCAGACCCACAGCAGGCTGGATCCATGTGAGCACACTGAGAGCTGCCAGCAGAGCCACCAGCTCACCGTCCAGCTTTCAGCGGAGCTCCTTTGCAGCCTGGCTCCAACCTGCTTGCAAAGCAGCACGGTCTGAGGAGAGTAACAGTGAGCTTAAAGAATGCACAGCAGACAGATGATGATCTGCAGGTGGCTGCAGGAGTGACAGAGGTGTTAATTGTTAGGAGCGCATTCTTTGCAACCTGCTGCAGGGAACCTGCTTTAGCACAAGGATGAACTTGATGATCCCAAGAGCTCCCATATGGTTCTGTAATTTTATGCTGAGAGATGTGAGCACAGCAGTCTCTTGTTCTAGCTAGCTAAATGCCGGCTCAGGTATTTGAAGTTCAGCCCTGACAGATAACTTTCAGAGGACATCTCTATGCTCTTTGTGCCTGTTGGACAGGAGTGACCATTGGCTGAGCTGCCCATCACTGCCCACATCCTGCTGCAGCCAGCCCAGGGCACCTGGACACATCACCCATCTGCACGTCCCGAGTTCTGTCCTCGCACTGTTTCCATCTGGCAGCATTTTGCCATCTTCTGTGGCATTTAAGGAGAGCTCTGGGTCGGTGCTTGTAATGAGGTGCGTCTTTAATGGAATGACTTGGTGATGGAGAGTGTAGGATCCCATAAGTAAGGAGTAGAGCAGGATCTGTTTGTCACAGTCTGCACCTGCTGTCAGCGGCTGATTTTTGTCATACCTGAGATGAGTGCTGTAAGCCTCCTGCAGGGGCAGATCCCCTTCCCTTGCAGTGATGCTCCATCAGGTGCCTGGTGTCACATCCCTTGTATGACAAACATTTGATGTGACACTTATGCACGCAGGTTGCTCCAGAGATATTTTTATAGGTCAGACTAAATATCACACATCCAGCCCTTCAGTCAGGTAGTGGAGCAGGCTGTGATTGCAGCTAATGGTCTTGGAAGTTGCTATGGTGCCTGGTAAACAGCAACCTGTGGCTTCTGCTCTCCTCTGCACCCGAGCGAAGAGGCAGGAAGCGTCGGGGCCATTGGGTGAGTGGGCACCAGCATTAGCTGCAGGTCACTCTGTGCAGTCAGCTAACCCAGCTGGCTGTCATTTCTATTTCTCCTCTGATGGAATCTCACCTGCTAGCTGCCTTCTCATCCCCCAAACTCAGCTGTGTCCAGCTGCTCAGTTCCTGGATGTACCATGCCATGCCCTTTGTACCACACCACAAATCAGTGTGCCCTAAGTGGCTCGTCTCCAGCCAGGGCTGTTGGTGAATGCTTGGAAAAGGAGCGTCAGGGCATGAAGTAAAGGAGAACGTGAGCAGGTGGGGCCTTGAGTTGCCTGCACACTGAGATGTAGGGAATTAGGCAGTGTGCAGCAGTGCAAGTCTTACCTGAACCGCGTGGGTCTGTCCCCACTGGCATCCCGATGCAAAGAGTGACGTAACAGCAAAGCTGGGACAGGGAGATTTGAAACTATATGGAAGTTGGTCATAGCTGTTGGGATGTTATCATCTGATGACAAACTGAGGTTGATGATAGTTAACATTTGAGATGTAGCTGCATAAAACAAACGTGGTGGCTTTTAATTTTCCTTTAATCATCTCCCAGCCTTCTTTTGGCTGATGATTTACAAGATGGGCTTTCCTATTATTTCTCTGGTGTCTAATGGGGGACTCTCAGGGAAGGGAAAGGGAGCATCGCAGTGTCAGAGCAAGCAAGCAGTGCTCTGCTTTATCCCCCTCTTCCTCGCACGCTCGTTGCTTGCTGTGGAGGTAATTCAGCACAGGAATCTCTGATTAGCTCAATTTTCAATTATGCTTTCCTGTCACCTCTAAACAACCGCTGCTTAACCCATGTTACAGAGAATGAGTTGCAGATTCAGAAACAGATATCTACCCAATTATATTCATTTATGTATTGCAGATAATGCCAAACAGGGTTTGTATTTACTTACGTAGGGCATTCTCAGGCTCTGAGTGCTGTGGGTGTTTTTTTATCTCCAGTTGACACCATGGGGACTCTATTGCAATGCTGCCTGTGAACAACTCTGTCTAAACATCCTAAATGCTTCTAATATAAATACAGAAATTCCATGTACCAATTATTAAACAAGCACAGATGTCTTACTGATTTTAACAGCATACGAGTGCTAGTTTTGTTTTGTTTTTTTTTCCTTAAGGTAAACAAGGAATCTAATTGGAATGCCACAAAAAGATCTGCTAAGAGGAGCATCAGGAATGAAGCAGTCAGAGGTGCTGTCTGGAAGGCAGGCAGGGGAAGGCACTCATGCAGGGAAATGCTGCTGTACTCTGGGATTTAGGAAACGAGTGCAATGTGTGGAGTCTTGGAAGTGTGAAACTCGTAAGAAGAGGAGAAGCAGCAGGAGAGGCTAAAGAATGGAGAATGAAGACACACTATGTGAGTGTTTTTTATTATTTAATGAAAGAGTAAAGTGAAGAAAGAATATTAATTCATTGTCATTCACTGTGCTAGGCACTCAGCAATACGTAAGAAAATCTTCCTGGCCAAAGCTGCCCTCAGCCCTTGAAGCAGGAAGGTGCACGGATCAGAGAGGGGCAGGGGGAGCTGGCAGGGTGTCCTTGTGCATGGTGTGCTGGAAGGATGAAGCTGGGCAGGGAGGATGGCTGAGGTCCTGCAGGTGGGATGGATGCTGAGCCGTTTAGAACCAGAGCCACAGGATTGCTTCCCGTGGGTTTTGCTGAGGATGATGTGGGTTATGGGAGTTGTCAGTGTTTATGAGTTACAGACCACGGGGTGTGCTGGAGTGTATTTATTGGTGCATAGGTTGGATGCTGAACTTACAGCTGAATTGGTGCTTTGACAAATGCTACCCTTTCATCAGGCATTATCAGTTTGAAATGCAGAACCCAACCTTTGGGGGTTTCCTGGGTGGGGGTGGGGAGGGGGGAGGAGCTGCACCCAGGGCTGGGCAGCCCTCTGCACATCAGCCATCCCGAATTCATGGTGCCAGTCCTGCCGTCATCTGGAAGCGATGTTAGATTTACTCCAGATTGTTTGAACAGTGGTGGCTGTCTCCAGACTCCCTGTCTATGCCTTTCATCCAGTTCTGACATAATTTATTGGAAACAAGGGGAATTGTTTCAGAACAAGCATCCCTGACAGCTTGGCAGATTGATAGAGAGGTTTTCCGATTTCATCTCTTTTCCTTTTTATAATGATGCCTTCTGACCACTTGCCAATCTCTCAAGTACCGTTGGTGTCATGGTAGCAGATGCCGAGATAGCAAGTTCCTGAGTTAGTGTTGCAAAGAGGAGCTTATTTAATCAATTGTGCTCTGTCTTTTGGCTATTTATCCTCTTATAAAACTAGGAACTTTTCTAGTGACATGTGCAACGTGTGAACTGTGAATTTTATTCAGCCTAGGAGGAACCACAGCTAATGTACTGTGGATGCTGAGCTGGCACTGAGCAAACTGTGTCAGTCAGAGCCCAATCCTGCAATGGGCAAAGAGGCAAAATTCTCATAGTCTTTTTCAAGGAAATAACATGTGCCAACCCCTTAGCATCGAACTGAGCTGTATTAGTTCTCTGCATTAAGAAATCTGATATTTCATGCCACGTAAATATGGTGTGTGAAAGGCACAGATTGACTCCTGCTCTTCTCGGGGCTTCCCTGCTCAAATGACTGAGGTACCGTTGTGCTGGGCTCCTGGATGGGTTGGACCCTGAATAAGATGCTGTGAGCTGGGCTATTGCCTTCGCATTTCGTCCGTGTGTGCATTTACATGTGAGCTCTCCACCTGTTTATAAACAGCATAGTGATAGGACAAGGGGGAATGGTTTTAAACTGAGACAGGGGAGGCTTAGGTTGGATATTAGGAGGAAGTTTTTCACCCAGAGGCTGGTGAGGCACTGTTACAGGTTGTCCAAGGAGGCTGTGGATGCCCCATCCCTGCAGGCATTCAAGGCCAGGCTGGATGTGGCTCTGGGCAGCCTGGGCTGCTGGTTGGTGACCTGCACACAGAAGGGGGTTGGAACTGGATGAGCATTGTGCTGCTTTGCAACCCAGGCCATTCTGTGATTCTATGAAGATGCAGCTTATGATGGTCCCAGGGAAAAAATTAATGAAATGATTAATTTTTTTTTCCTTTTCAACTAAATAAACATTTTATTTTTGGTTAAACTGCTACAGCATCCAAGTTGTTCTTGGGGTCATCAAAAGCCTTTCTCTGTCATGATCCATACCCCTGTCTGCTGTAAACTGAGCTCTGCTGATGGCAGGAGAGACCCAGCGGTTTGTGCCAGCTGAGGATATAGCAGCTATTTGAAAAGGCAAAAATGGATCACAGCTCTGCTGTGAAATCTGTTTAACTGAAAGGAAAAGATCTTTGCAGGTTAGGTGCACGGTTAATTAATTGAAATCCAACCTCCCTAGACAAACCACAGATGCTCTGCTTATTTAGCACAGCGTCTCCTAACCAGCTGCACTCATCTATTCCCTAATACTACCCTGTAGCTAAACATCTGGAGAAAGCTAGGAAGGAGAATAATAAATATTGCGGACATCCTACTGGGTGACAGCTGCAAGTGACTGTACAGCAAAGCGAGGTGTGATTGGGTGTGTGGGTGAGAAGCCAGGATGGGGCCTAACACAGCCTCAGGGAGAGGAGCATCCCAGAACCAACGTAGACAACATACTGCCCCAGCACCTGCTGATCAGCATGGTGGCTCATGTTCTGTATTTCATCACCTGGAAGCGGCCAATTGAAATACTAACATGGAGTTCTGTGAGCTCAGATGGAGACAGAACATCACAGCTGTACAGACCAAGATTTTTAAAGTCGTTTCCAGACACCGTCCTTCTGGGAAATGCACCTCAACGTGAGGACACCTCCAATTTCACATTGGGACCTCAGGATGCAATGCAGGCATTTTGTAGAATGGTAGAATGGCCTGGGTTGCAAAGGAGCACAGTGCTCACCCAGTTGCAACCCCCTGCTGTGTGCAGGTCACCAACCAGCAGCCCAGGCTGCCCAGAGCCACATCCAGCCTGGCCTTGAATGCCTGCAGGGCTGGGGCATCCACAGCCTCCTTGGGCAACCTGTGCCAGTGAATGTAAGGGATTGATGTATTTGTGATCGTCTAAATCAAAAACAAAATTTTTCATATATACATATATAAATGTTTTGCTTTTATTTCTTAAAGTTGTAGAGGAAGTCAGCAACACTTTAGTATCAAAAATGATGTTGACACAAATATTCATCAGAATTACTGCTCCAGTCTGCCCCACTTGTGGTTATGCTTGTGGTGCTTTGATGAATTCTGCCTTAATTCCCCATTAAGTCTTCCATCATTGTCTGAATATTTGGTTTGTTTTCTTTTATTCTACCACTGCAAGCTTTCCAAACCATTCCCAGAATCGTTGTCCCATAAGTTGAATTACCTGATATATGAACCCTGTCTATTAAATAATCTGGGAAGTATGGATGCAGACTGATGTTGGGGTGTTCCTGATCCACATTAAATGCTTTGGATAGAGGTCACGTTGCCACATCAGGTTGTCTAATACTGGCCTTTCTCCCCAGTTGGTGGCCTTTACACAGTCCTGAATGGAGCATGGCCCAATTCCCTGCGTGTGAAACCTCCCAAAGTGCTCTTGGAGCCGCCCGTCAGGCGCTGCTCTGCTCCACTTACAAGGCTCCAGATGCGCCGCTGCTTTGCCCTCCATCCCCTTGACACCCCCAGGGTAGCAAGACGACTGACTTACCCTTGAAAGCAGGGGACAAACCTGCACACACATCTGGAGGAGGCTGTGCTGCTCCTCCAAACCTTTGTGCTGTCCTTTCCCACCCTCCCAGCACATCTCCAGCCCTATGCTGCTGCGTTCTGCAGTGCCAGCACCTTCCTCCACCCCCTGCCCTTCTGCGGCCGCTGCAGGAATGGGAAAACGCTTTTCCCCTCCAAAGGCTAACCAGCCCTTTTCACATTCCTTTAAATAGGTATCAATACCTGGCTTTTACAAACAGGAGAAATTAAACTTTGTAGCATTTTGCTATTTGAATGACCTACTCAGTGGAATTACAGCGGCAAACTAATCCTTTAGGAGAGATGGCTCTATCAATCTTTGGATTTTTCTAATGTGGAAGCTACTCAATTGCATCTCAGAAATCAGGGAGGTAATTACTCATGCAGACAGCACAAAATGAAAAAAAAAAAATGCAAGTTCTGCTGAGTATCCCTTTTAGAACAAGCAGTGGAACAAGGAAAACAACCTCTATAATCAGTCAAATTCTTCCACTAATTTTTCAGGTGTTGAAGGCTATAGTGAGGATACATGCTATGAAAGTTAACAAAGCAAAGTGGCTCTAACAGAGGGCTTTACTGGAGAAAAATGCCTCTTATTAGGCAGACATCCTATTTCGGATCCAGCTCTCTGTGTTACAACTTCATTGTTGAAAATGGACGTGCTCTGAGCTGAATGTATTTGCAGATCCCTTCCGTGGTGTTGGGCTGCCCTCTTCCATGAGATATCGGACATGAGCAGTGCTAACGGTGGCTTTCAGGTAGGCATGGACCAAATTCGGTAGCCTGGCTCCAACTCAGCATTGTGATGTGCAGGTTGTTATTTCTTTCACTCCAGTGTGAGATCAGGCTCACTGCAGCCACCTGGTCAGGTTCACCTGAAATGAGCCCAACTGTTATTAGTTTTCTTATAACGATGTCTGCTTTTCTAATTGTACCCTGCATTTCTTGCTCGTCGGCAGAGGAGCTGCTGGTCGCTGACTGGAGCTGCTGGTGCTTGCTGTTAGAGATAAGGCATTTATTTTCTCATCCTATGACTATTATTATTATTATTGTTAAATACATATTCAGCCCTGTGCTAAAAGCAAGCTGAACAAGCAGTGCTTTTCCTGTTCTTCCTTCCTTCTGCAGGTGACAGTCATGGAACTGTTCAAAAACGCTCAGCTCTTCTTTCCCTTCCGTGTAAGGTGTAGAATATGTTTTTAATGTAAGCCACGTACCCTTAAACATCAGCAGAAGATTAAGCAAATACTTTGGAGAGCATTACTGTATTAAGACAGCAGCGAATGCCACGTGCTGTTGTTGATGCCAGCGTGGGCCCGCTGACATATGCAAAGATCTTCTTCAAAGATTCATGAAGTGAGCAGTCGTACTTTTTGTTTAAATTTTGAGACTCCCGAGGAAACAAGGAGGGAGCAGGGCTGCTATCAAATGCGCTGTCAGTTAGATTAAAAATCAAAGGGCTGCTTTAAATGAATGTGAGGGCCCAGAGGGTCTCTCAGTCGCTCCGTGCCAGATGCTGGAGCAGGGGTGAGGTCTGCTCAGCGCCCACCTTGAGAATTCCTTCCGCACTCCACTGTGTTTGGGAAGCCCAGCTTGCCTAATCACATGTGGTTCCTAATTGGAAATAGTGGTATTTGGGAAATACTGACTGAGCGTAAATAAAGAATGTGAAGTCCCAAAGTTCTTCCAGCTTTCTTGATTACAGTGAAGTTATAGTGACTTATGCTTATCCAAATCCAGCTGTGAATGTAAGGGAAGTCTATGCAAATTCCTGCCATTGCTTTGTGTGCTCATCACTCAGCTTGTATGCAGAGAAAAACCATTCAACAAAAACAAATGCTTTAGAAGTTGTCCTGTTGGATAAGAATTCCTGTTTATTTACGTGTGTTTTTGTTAAAGCAAACGCAGGAATGCTGTGCAAGGATGCTCTGTGCTGGCTGAACACTGGGTACCTGGAGCTCTGTGCAGGCTGCCAGCACGTGCTCACCCCAGGGATGCTTCCAGCCCACACCTTCTCCAAACCCAAGCTCTGGTGTCATAGGCAGAGGGGAAACACTCCCTGAGAGCCTGTGCTGAAGCAAAGGAAGTCCCTGTTCCTGACTCGTAGAGTGGTTTGGGTCAGAATGGACCTTTAAGATCATGTCGTTCCAACCCTCCCTCTAGACCAGGTTGCTCACAGCCCCATCCAGCCTGGCCTTGAGTGCTTCCAGGGAGGAATCATACAAAGCTTCACTGTGTAAGGCTGAAGATTGAAACCCCTGGGTAGGTGTTGCAGGCTGTGTAACTCCTTGTGCACTGGGGACGTTTATTTTTTCTGACCTGCTGCTGCTCCTCTTGACCTCTGTCAGTGTATAGCTGCGCTCGTGTCTGGGTACCCGCAGAGATAACTGGGGTTTGGTTTGTTTTCTGGGTCAGTTCTGATAACGGTGCATGGCTCAGCCCCCTGTGTGCATGGGGATGCAGCAGGAGCCATGGAGGTGAGCATGTCCTGAGACTTGCTCCATCTCTGCAGGTGTTCTGAAACAAAGGGACCGTGCTTCTGGTCTGGGAAACAGTGTTGATCTGTCCAAACCTTCCCTGCTTTCCACTGACGAGGAAATAACTCTTGGCTTCTGTCCTAAGCTGCGGCACTGCTGCTGCGTGTTAGCGTTAAACATTTCCATCACCCAACTCCTGGAATGGTTCAAGGCTTAATTATGCACTATCTGCAAAGCACCTTAAGATCTGCAGATGAAAGGCTCCACAGAAGTGCAAAGTATTATTTTTATTGTAGGTTTCAGAGGCAGAAGTGGGTGCGTGCTTGACCTGATAACGTTAAAAGCCTGGTGGGCTTGCCAAGCTTTAATATGATCTGCTAAGGCAGAATTAGTGGGGTGTCCGGGTCTGAAGAGCCATGGCTCTGACGACAAAGGATTCGTGCTCCCTCGCTGCTATGGGCACAGCTCTTGTGCAATTACTGCTGGGATTTGTGAAAGAAGATATTTCCCCCTGCTTTTTTTTTTCCCTCCTTCTTTTTACCCATCTGTAGCATCCTTCTAAACGCTCACACCAAGTGGGTGTTTGCTCACATTTGATATAAGTAAAGGGGTTTTATTTTTAAAACTTTTAAAGGCAATAATCTTTTTTTTTTTTTTTCTTCCAAGCCTTGTACGATGATTGCCAAATTTGGAAATAGTCCTCCTTCATCATTTATAGATCCTGTATTTGTGTATAATTGATAGGACTCATGTCCATGTGTTAGCAAAATAGTTGTACTGTTGTATCCAATTATTTACATATCTAATCATCTAAAAACAAGATTAAATTAAAATCAGCAGAGATGATAGATCAGCTCTGAACACGCATGCATGTATACGTATAGAGGCACACTCATTTCTATGGATATATGTGTGTGTGTGTGCATGTGCTCTAATGATGTCTGTGTGGGATATAAATAAAAGCTTACAATTTGTGCTCTCTCCACTTGCATAAAATCACAGATCCACCTCCAAAGCCGTCGCATTAATTGCTAGAGCAAGAGCACAAAAATATAAATAAGCTTTCAAGGGTATCGTTTTCTGAAAGCTAGAAGCTACAACATAGCTTGCTCTTGATATGAGCATAATGGAAGTATTCATGAAAGTGGGAAGCTCCTCTGTTGTGGGACTGAAATCTTGCCTGCTCCTTGTGCAGTGGTGGGAGATGTGGTCCCTTATGGTGATCCATGGTACTTTTAGGGGGTAGCACACATTTAAAAGTGCATATTTGACGCCAAAATTATTTTAGAGTGTAAAATGAAGCACATGCACTTGGTGTGATGTGTTGTGCAGAAGGAGCTTTTAGGAGAAGAAGGAAAAACAAACAAACTGCACATAATCCACTGCACAGATCACGTTCTTGTGAGAACATTTAAAAACTGCCATCAGACTAAAAATTGCTGGGTAGAGCTAAATTTATTTGTAGTGGTGTGTTGAGTTACAACCTCAATATATGTTGACATGGTGCCCCAGAAAACAGTGCAAACTAAAACAAGTAAAGCACGTCCGGATGAGTTTGCAGCTGAGCGTTAGTGCTGTGCTGTACAGCTTTCTGCATTACGCTCCTCTTCACACTGGGGGAAGCTTGTTCTGCATTTGTTGATGAATATTTTCCTCTTAGTTAATTGGCAGAACAGGGGCTCCAACTGGCCCACCATTGGTCTCACAGTGATGTAGTGATTGTAGGTTTTGCTGGTTGCTATCAGTTTGTATTTACTTTCTGTGTCTTCTGCTTAAATGACACTGCGGGACTCTTCATGCCGAATAACATCTTTCTGGTTGCTTCTCCCCTAAAGAAAAGTTTGTGTTTATGGCTGTCTCCCTCCCCGCTCTGCCCTTTAGCCGATGTCAATCCATTTTATGTTACATTTCTGTCTATTCCGCTTCCTTTCTTTCTGTAGACCTCAATCTCTGCACAAAGACCTTAATCTCTGATGTGGAACTTTGTCAAACACTGTCTGGTAGTCTGGAGGCAGGCTGCCCAGCACGGGGAGATGCGAGCCTGAGGGTGGTGGTGCAGCTTAGTGGGGAACAGTGCAGCTTTGCTGCTGCAGAGGTTTCAGGCTGCAGCCCTGTGCATGCCCATAGACACCTCTTTGCGTTATTGCCCCTTAATGCAAACTGCCTGCCCCTCCGTGCACTTTGTTTTGCCATGAACAAAACTGCTCAGCTAAAATTGATTGTAGAGGAGCTCCCTTGGACCACGTGTAAAAGAGATGTTGAGATCTTGCCTTAAATATGCAACAGAATAGCAACGGCAGCAAAGACTTGTTCCTTCTCCAATGCATGAGTTCTGATATTTTCAAACAGCGTATCTGGTGCTAGAGTACCAGATTTAACAAAACTACAAGCCAGTTTTATGTTGCGCTCAATGATCCACGTGGATCTCTTCTAACTCAGGTTATTCCGTTTCTACCAGTTCCTCTCTGCCGTGTGGGACTGTTTTGTTTCATGAATGGTATTTCTCTTCCTTTCCTATGGTTTTCCGAAACAACACAAAGATAAAAAATCTCATAGAGAATGGAACTGTCAGAGGGGAGGTTTTCAAGTCTTCAGTGTCACTCAATGAAGGCATACTGGTGATTCATAGAATGAATCCTAGAATGGCCTGGGTTGCAAAGGCCCACAGTGCTCATCCAGTTCCAACCCCCTGCTGTGTGCAGGTCACCAACCAGCAGCCCAGGCTGCCCAGAGCCACATCCAGCCTGGCCTTGAATGCCTGCAGGGATGGGGCATCCACAGCCTCCTTGGGCAGCCTGTTCCAGTGCATCACCACCCTCTGAGTAAACTTAGTTCACATTTTGCAGTGATGTTGAGTACGGGCTGTGTGTTATTTTCTTTGAAGTGTAAGAAAAAGTTAAATTGAGGGCAGGAAAAGTTGTGTGCGTGTTGGTGGATTTTTTTTTTTCTTAATATCAGATTTAATTTGTTTAGGAAGCAAATGTTATCAAATATGTGCAGAGAAGCACTTGAAGTCTGCAGCATACTGCTAGTTTTGCCCCTGCCAAACACTTGGAAAGTCTTCTAATCTTTGTGTGCATCAGCACTATGAAACAGGTAGTGCTTATCAGTTTGTGAGGGATTTTGCAGCCTTTGTATGCCAGACGCCTTGGAAGCACCAAGAACTTTGGTGCCTGTGGTTTCTCGCTAACAATTCCCCTTTTCTGTCTCTATGATTTTTTTTTCTAAAATATTTCTTCTAAACAATAAGCAAAACAATACCACAAAAATGCAATAAACAAACCCATTTGTGAGCCTGCCCTCCATCCCAGCCTGCTTCCCTTCCCACGTGCTTGGCCAAACAAAGGGAAAAATGAGGAGTCTCTTTCCCAGCGCAGGACAGCACAGCCAGCACTGCCGTGAAGCAAGGCAGCGCGGTGCATTCTCGTTACTCATCAGCTAATTGTTCCATGATTTCCAGCTCTCTGCTCCCACACCTACTTGCTGACTCCGGTGCCGCGTGCCGCTCTCTGCAGCCGAAGCCCTTCTGACGGTCGGGGAATGGATTCAGCCCACAAAAATATGTTGCATGTTGCAAGTGGAATTTGCCCTCTGGCCTTCGGCTTCCCCCTCTCCTGTGACCAACAAGTGCTGTTTTCTCCTCTCTCCCCTTGCTGGTGAAAGCTGCCTTTAGCTCTCTGCAGGCGCTTGGTTCGGAGCCAGTGATGAGTTTCCTTCACGCCTCCGTCTGCTGTGCAGCCAGAGAAAAAGCAACGCGTGCCATTTTCCTCTGCAATGGGCAGAGACCGCTGAGTCTCCTCTCTGCCCCACCGTGACTGGGGGGGGGGGGCACACTGGATATAAGCCTCATTTTCTCTCATTTCTTAGCATTTGTGGTGACGCAAAGTAAAGCAATGATAATGGTAATTGAGTCTTGGACATCAAAACATAAACCAGTTGACAGTGAAAATCAGGGACAGAAAGGTAGGCTGGGATGAGAGCGATAGAAAGAGAGGTGGTGGCTGTAAGTTGTGCTGGAAGAAGCTCGGGTTGGGTATTAGGAAGCATTTCTTCTCCAAAGAGCAGGCAGGCAGTGGCACAGCAGCCCATGGAGTGGGGGTCACCATCCCTGGGGGTGTCCCAGAGCTGTGGGGATGTGGCACTGAGGGATGTGGGCATGGGGGGGTGGGGTTGGACTTTTCCAACCTTGGAGATTCTGTGATTCTATGGCTATAAATACAGTCGCCTCCTGTGCTTTGCTGTGCTTGCGTGGTGCTGATGTGTTAGCCCAGGTAGGAAGCAGTGTTTTGAGCTAAGGGCTTGCTCTGCTTTGGGAGCCTCTGGCCCAATGGCAATGCTGACATTCCTCATGAAGGCTCTCCCTTCTGTCCTCCCTGGAGCAGCATCCTCCCCTCTGCATCCTTCACAGACATTGGAGGGCTCTCTGTTGGAATGGTGGTTTTGTAGTTGTGGATGCTGCAAGGAGTACACACTGTTCTTCCATGAAACCAGGCTGCGGTGCGCTGAAAAACTTTGAGTGTGTGTTGGAAAGAAAAATCTCTGCAAGAATCCTCTCCTTGTGAGAAAGAAATTATTTCCATGTGGTGCTGCTTTATCAGTGCCATGCAGGCATCGAAACGGGATCCAGAAAACGGGTGCTGGGAGAGGAGAGCTGTGGATCTGCACTCCCAGCACTGGAGCAGGGCTGGCTGCAGGCAGGGCTGTGCTCGTGGGGTGCTGGTGGGATGGGAGTGCCTCTGTTTTTTTATCATCTGCACTTTTCTTCTGGAATTAGATAGTGAAAGTGTAAAATTTGGTTTCAAAGCCAGATGAAAATGCAATCTTTCATCAGGACAGCTCTTTTGTCTTTTCATTATTAGCCAGTCATCAGTCTTTTGTTGATGATTTTTTTTTCCTGCTTTATTAATATAGCCAAGTTAACCCCAATTTTTGCATTACCTTTAGCAGAATGATGTTTTTCCCACTCTAAGACTAATTCTTGGTATGTTTTTAGCTGTGGTTTTGGACTTGCATCATTACTAATGATGAGAAGGCGAGCAAATAGCTTCATAAATATCAAGCAGAAGAAATGAATAACATTTTCTTTTGCTCCCCTTTGAAGCTATTTCTACTATTGTTAGTTCATCCAGCAAGATGCTGCTCTTTGAAATTCACTTGTAGAATCCATTCTTTCATAGACAACTTGTTTTCTGATTAACATATATGCATCCATACACAGAGACCCGTGATAAAGAAATGAAAATAAGCCAGATTTTGGAAAACTTTAAATCTGATCCTAATGAAAAATCATTCTTAACGACTTGTGGGAATGGTGCATTAAAATGAAACAGAAGGAAGCAGCAACAGGTGAAAAATTGAAGTATAAATTTCCACGTCGTAATTTCACGTGCGAATATTGCTCAGTTCATATTCAATTCCAGTAGAACTGAGCCCGCTTCTTCCTTCTCTTATATTGTTTTATTAGAGAAGATGCTGGCCTGTATTAGCCACTTATTAGATAAATACAGGAAAAGTGCTTGTCATTTATGGGTTGATCCGTTATCAGTGCGAACATCGGATGGAGTAGCCTGATTTCAAAGTGACAGCTGGTGGGACCTCTTCTTGATACATGCTAATCCAGTTTTTATTATGGAAAAATTGCCTGTGCTTCCAGACGGTGAAAGGCAGTTACAAGACATAGCTGCTGAGGGTGGATCCTTATGATCTCTGCTATAACAGCCTAAAAATGAACTATTATCTGCCAGCATAATAGCATCCTGATAAAATACGGACCTCGGGTAATTTACGGCGGGAGCACGTCAAAATGTACAATTTCTCTTAGGGTCTCTTTCAGACAGTAAATAAAAAATGGCCGGTTCTGCAGCGGCTCCAATTGGTGTGATGGATGGTTGGGTGGGATCGGGCAGCGGTGCGCACGCGGTGCTGCAGGTGGAGGGGGTGAGGTGCTGGGAAGTGTCCTGGGCTCTGGGGACCCCCGTGGCTCTTTGGTGGGAGGCAGCACTTCAGATCAGAGACAGTGATGAGTGGCAGCTGCCACAACGCGGGGCTGCTGCTCCTTTCCAGAACCCCAACCCAGTCAATGTGGCGCTGCCTGTGGGACGGGGAAGAGCGGCGCGCTGGGGGCTAGACCCCCATCTGGGGAGATGGGCTGTCTGTTGTGTTCTTCCCAAATTATCAGCCTCTCTAAAAATACTGATACAGCCGCTATGTGACAATCGTTTAATCACAAGTATAACAGGTGCTCTGAACTTTGAAGAAAGACCAGCGAGGAGCTCCAGTCTCAAAATAGCGCGATAGCAGCAGGAGATGGGGTTAAATATGGCTTTGAGACGTGGCGAGCAGTTGCTTTTGGTGAGGCTGTCTTACATATTTCAAAGAGAAATCAAGTGCTCAGGCACAGAAGCAGCGTTGGATGCTCAAGAAGTAGCTAATTAAGCTCCCAAAGATGCACGGTCCCCGTTCCATATGGTCTGTGTATGAACCACACGCAGGGACCGGAGTTGGTTGTGTGCTGGGTTAGAGAGGCTTTATGAGAACAGAACGGCCCCTGCAAAGCAATTTGGCTGATCTGCCATCCTGGTGCGGCCGACAGCCTGGCCAGAAGCATTTTTGGGAAAAGCGTGCCATCGCTCCTGTGAAATTCAGTTCTGGGCAGCATTTGGGATTTACTTTGTTGGGAAACTGGCTGTGAATTCATTTTGATGGTACTTGTTAATAATCCCCATCCCTTTTGCTATGGCGAGTGCGCGCCGCTCCCATCTGAGAGGTTTTGTCCTGAGCTTCAGGGTGGAAACGTGTTTTGTTTTGTGAGGATGTTTCCCATACTCACAGACTGTGCATGCTGTTTTCTGTACCATATATACTCCATGTACTACATCTATCTGTACGTATGTGGTATTGCAATGAAAGGGATAAATCCTGAGCCTTAGGGGGACCGTAGGGGTGCTGGGTGCCATGGATGAGAGGGGCTCAGCACAGCGCTGCATCCACGGCTCCGAATTCCCCAGGTTCTGAGGATTGAATGTATTTGAACGCAGTTTTCTGTGATTTAATGCAGAATTATTTCAGATCCCAAACTGGTAGGGAAATAGCCGGCTCTCTTTTTGCTGCCGCTCCCCCTCTTTCCCCCCCCCTTTCAAAAGAAAGAGCTTTATCTTAATTAAAGTTTAATTAAGGATCACGTTTGGCAGTACTTTTCACACCGATCTCCACCAGCAGATTTTCTAAGGCTTAACTTTATCGTGCAGAAAATCCTCTTTTATTACTCCCAACCTGTTGTAAAAGCTGTTGGCACGGCGCGGTGGCTGCCTCATTCGGTGGCCTTGTTTGCCGCTGGAAAATTCCCAAGTCTCCAGAGATAGCACCACTGTGGTTCAATTTAATATCTGTCCCATCACTACAAGACTCCGGCTCATTATTAATGATACTATTCATTAATTTCTTGTTGGGCTGATGTTGTTATTTATTAAAATATTAAAGAAAGCTCCTGAGACACATACATAATGAGGGACACCTCCATTTGGTGAGCCGATCCAGTGGAGGGAATGAATGCGGCGCAGATTTACCCGTGCCGTATCCCTCCCTCATTAGTCCTGCTGCATCTCTGAGTGACACCGTAAATTCATTTTGCACACTGTCCAATCGGAGCCTAATACAAATGTGGGGCTCTTTTTTTTTAATGAGCCATTCCTATGCAAAATGAATTGACTACTGTCTAACTCATCTAATCTGCCCGTATTTGGGGGAAGGACTAAATTGCCTATATTTATTTAGGAAATAAATAAAAGTCGACGTATTTTTTCCCTTTTCGGTCTCGCATTCGGAGAATTTCAACATAATAAATTCTGCGTTTTAAGAACCTGCCACCTTAGTTAACTAAATCCCAGCATGACATTTAAACGTGTGACGGTTGTGTTGAAAAAAAAAGCCTCAACAAGCAGTTTGTGCCCAGCGCCGGTCATTTGATGCGTCTTTCCTCCCAGCCCAGGTGTAGCCCACAGAAGGCCCCGCAGCACTTGATGTATTGCTCCCTCTTTTAATCAAAGAGATTTCCGACCGCGTCTGCTTTGAGCACCAGGCCATACGGAGGGAACGGCGCAGCAAAACACATCAGGCAAAGTTGGAATTAGCCGAGCCGTGACGTCACGGCCTTACTGTGATTGTTAGGAGAGGGGCTGGGTATTGAGGGTCTTTTCCTGGCCAAATGAAAATCTGCATGACAATCGAGGTAGCATCTGAAGGTAAAGTTTTAATTTGTTCTATATGGTTGTTATTTCCACCCTGTGCAAATAATTACCGCCGTGAAGGAATACCTCAGTTTGTTTTAAGAGGATTAGCGGGGCATGATTGCAGCCTGGTCTGCTCCCTGCTTTATTAACGATGCTCTCCATCCATGCTCAGGGCAGCAGCTTTGTGTGCTGCTCGAGGGCTCTGTGCCAGGACCCCACAGCCAGGTGCTGCTGGGGCACTGCGTGTCACGGTGCCACACAGGGGCATGGGCTGCAGCACGAAGGGTTGTGGTGATGCAGGATGGGATGCTGGAAGCAGGGGCTGTGAGGCATGAAAGCTGCTGTAGAAAATAAACTGCGGGACGCTCTTCTTCCTTTCCTGCTTGTCACGGAAGATGAGGTTCCTGATGTGACCAATATATTGCTTTAGTGATATCTCTGCAAATTTAGAAACTCAGCTTGTTTAAACAAAGTCCTTTATTACATGCTCCTTGCTAATAGTCTGGTCTGCCCACGTGAACTTACTCCTTAACTTGGTTTTCTTTCCTCAAGGCTGACCTCCACGGGGTGCATTTACTCATTCCCATTGTGCCTACAGTGATGTGGTGGTCCCATGCTGTCCACTCCTGTTCCCCATGGCCCTCAGT